TGATAAAAATTTATTTATGATTTTTAAAATTATAAGAAATAATTTATATTTTAAAGACACCTGAAAGAGTTTATTTGTAATTTATCTATAAAAATTAAAATAAAAATAATAAAAGAATTCAATGGAGTAACAGAATAAGCTAAAGAAGTCAATGAAATAACAAACAAATGTAATTATGAAATAATGAATGTGTTAAAAGATTCTTTTTTTTCAGACACACTAGTCATAAATTAAATTTTAAAATTTTTAAAACGATAACCCTAAACTCTAATTTTTTGGAGCCGTAAAGACAATTACAATTTAAGAAATCATATTATTCTTACTTATTTGTCTATTTATCTATTACTCCACCTATATGTTTATCTATCCTTATTTGTTCACGACTCATCTATCTATTCACTTATTATTAACTTATTTGTCCACATTATCATCACCACTACCACCAGCCACCTTTGGCCACTTTTCTGATGACTTTCCAAGTGAAAAACTATTTGACTGTAGTGGATAAAAAAGAAAGAAAGAAAAAAATCCTTCAAAATAATAATATCTTCCTCACCAAATAATTTTATTAATGTTGTCCTTAAAACCAAAGTAAAATAATACTTAGACCGAATGCCATATACCCCCTAAAAATGAATTTAGGAACAATTTTTTCTGTTTCTTTTTTTCTTATACTATTTATCATGTTTGTTTCTAATTTTTTGAAAACATTTTCAGAAAATTGTACTTTCTTATTTTTCATATTTTTTTGTTTTTACTGAAGTTTTTTAAAATTTTAAGCAATTTTAATTTTTAGACACACCTAACATAAATACACTTAAAAAGTATAATTTATGTGAAAAAAAAATCTTTAAAAAATTCACTAAATACCAAAATTATAAAAAAAATATATATGAAAATTTGTTTTTTTTTTGTGTGTGTGTATTTATTAATTTTTTAAAATATTGTTTCACAAATACTGTACTTTTTAGATGCATCTAAATAAGATACATCTAAAAGTAAAAAAAAATATTTAAAAATTTAAAAATATTTACTAAAAATAAAAATAAAAATAAAAATTACAAAAAACAAAAAACAAAAAATGCAGTTTTTAAAAAACTAAATTCAGAAAGCTAAAACTAAATATACTGATTAATATTTTTATTCTTATAATTAAGATATCCTTAAACCAGTTAAAAAAAAATGATACCCTCAAATAAAATAAAACTCGCTATTTAGAGAAAAAAAGGTAATGCCACAAATCAACCACATTTGACACAACTTACTACAAATCTGTGAAAATTAATAATAAAGATAAATTTCAAATATACCTCCTGAAATTTATTTAAAATATAAATTGTCTCATATAATTCTAGAAATTATATCCCGTCATTTGAAATTTTTAATTTCATAACAAATAATTTTTTTATTAATAAATCATCAAGTCAATTAACAACTTTTAATAATGTCAAAATTTTATTTCAATTAATAATTTAGATAATTTTATTATTGTATAATAGAGTAATTAGGAATTTCATTTTTCAATTTATTTTGTTAAATAAAAAGTTCTGAGAATGATGCATTTATAATTTTTCAAAGCACTGAGAGCTATTTGTATTTTAAATAAACCTCATAAGGTATATTTGTAATTTACCCTAAAAATAATTACTGCAAGGTGGAAAGAGGAAAATTCTATTTCCACACTTAATTATCTCAGTGCACATCTACTCTCAATACACACTTATTAGTTTGATTATTAATTAATTTTCTCAATACACATACCAAAAGTTACAATTGTACCCTTAACTAATAACCATTGTACACACACCACTCAACCCTCATTTCCATACTTGTTGAGTGACCATGCTTCCAAATTTGTAGATCTACATAAAAACCATTCAAGACCACAATGTAAAATGAAGTGAAGTGAAGACAAAATCCTCCATTAAAGACTCTATTGAACTTCCATTGAAAACAACACTAAAAACCCTTCAAAATATTGTTGAAGATGGAACATCTTTTCAGTTTATTATTGCATTTACCATTTCCAGATCTCTGTGTACCCCAATGCCATAAAACCCTAGGATTTTATTTTTTTTTAATTCTTCGGTTTGAGGATTTTAGCACTAATTTTCTAAAATTATACATTTAATTCAAAACTTAACTTCCGAATAAAAGTGATTAGTTCGACAAATTTGTTCTTTAAAAAAATAAAAAAAACAACTTTTGGCAATTGATGTCCGAATATAATGAAATAATTCGGCACTAGTTATCCGACTGAAATGAAAACAAAAAAAAACAAAAACAAAAAAAACAAACAAACAAACATTTTCATCACTAATGAGTATAAATTTAGAAATTAAAACAATATAAGAGTTGTTATGAGAGTATTGCTTTGCAAGCAAAAAAATAATATAGAGTGCGTAATAAGCAATGTGAGAAAAATGAAAAAACTAGGATTTAATTTTTTTTTTACTCAAAAGGTGTACATTAATATTTTTTTTTATTTTTAAAAGCTGTGTACACAGAATATTTTCATATAATATTATGAGTGTTGGTGAATGTCCATTATGGTTATTTTAATTTAAGATATAATTGTCATTAAAATAATATTTTATTAAGTGTATGCACTAAAGTAACTAGGTGCGTGAAAATAGAATGGGTGATTCTACTTACACCACTATTTAACCTCTTTACACCCTCCATCTCATTACACCACTAAAAAAAATATAATTCTTATTACACTCCCAATATATTACCAAAACTAATCCTAAATTAACTATTCCATCACCTTACACCACTACGGAACTAAACAATTTACATTATTCTGATGTTATACTGCCAGATAATATAGATCTCTCTGACATTTTATTGCTATACATTTACGGAAACACTTTCTTCAAAACAATGATTTTTTAATTTGTGGTGGGCCTGTTCGGTAATACAACGCTAATTAATTTGAATTACTTCAGTGTCATATTACCGGACAATATTTTTTTTCCAACATTATGTTGCGGTCCAATTAGATGATAACAAGAAATTAATTTGGGCCACTTGTGAAGCGCATGTTCAGTGATACATTATTATATAAATGAAATTACTCTAGTGTCATGTTGCCAAACTACAATAGAGTTATCTAGGCTCCCGTCGCTATACATTGAAAGATTAACTTTTTCCTTCAAGCATCCATAAAAAAATTCATAAATCAAACACGCATCCATATAATCATACATAAAAAGTATCCATAAAATTCTTCATAAAAACATCAAATGTATGTATATCTATAAAGTTTCTATAAAATCTGTCATTATTTGCATTTATCAATCAAACATGTTATCACAATTTGTCTTGGTAATTTGTAGGTAATTTTTCCCCCCCTTAATACAAATAAACATCCAAACTTTTTAGAACCTACCAACTTCAATCGTTTCCCCTTGATCTTCCTGTTGTTTCTATAGTGACCACTTCTTTTGCAAACAAGTGTAAGTCTTAGTTTTCTATCATTGCATCCCGCATCTGATGTCTTTATAACAATAACAAATCCAGTCTTCTTCCTAATGTCAGAAGCCCATTTAATTAATGCTTCACGACTACTAAAAATCTAAAGATAATAAATACATTTATACATCAAATTATTAATAAAACTCAATACAAATTAAAAATAAGAAAAAATTGTATTCATAAAAAAAATTAACAAAACTCGTCTGTAATGAATTCATGATTAGAGTCCACTAATGTATTAGTATTTACGTTGTTGCAATGAGTTTAAATATAATCTTTCCAGGCAAAAAAATAAAAAAAATAAAACTGAAAATACATGATAATGAGAAGTCGAACAAATTAAAAAATTCGGTTTGGAATTACCAAAAATGTATCTTTTATTCGGTAGTTAGTTACCAGACAAATATTTTTTGTTCGGCAATGTGATGCCAAACTATTTTATTTTGTTCGATTTCGAACCACTGAATGAAAGTCAAACACCAATCCAGAAAAACAAAACAAAAACCTATCAAATAAATAAATAAATAAAACTAAATAAATAAAACTCACCATTTCATTTTTTTTTTATGGTTCTTCGTTATCGTTTCTTCATCCATTGCTTTCTTTAATGATCAAAATACTATAATTCTCAATTTTTGAAAAGATGTGTAGGAGAAGAAAAATTTAGAAAAGAAAAAAAGCAAAAATTGAAGACCAAAGGGTGTAAAGAAATAACAAAATATATTTAATTTTAATATTTTTGTCCTTAAAGATAATTTCACAGATGGATAAAATTGGGAAGAAAAAAAAAAACTCATGAATGGTACAAAGAGGTAAAATAGTGGTGTAAGGAGAATCACCCATATAGAATTTCTCGTGAAAAAAACAAAAATAATTACAATAGGGTGAAATCCCTCTTGAATTACAAAAATGCCCTCTTGTATTTGTCTCTCAGCTCCTAGAGACTCCAGTCAACCCCTGCCCCTCTCCCACGAATGAGGATCCTCTCCTTGCAACTTCCGTGCTTGCGCCCGTCCTTGCAGGCCTTCGGGTCTACTTTTAGGCCCAATTTTGATAATCCGAACCGTTCATATTTTATGATTTATTCAGTATATCATACCTCTAAAAAATCAAGTTGATCGGATATCAGAAAGCATATGTTCGGAAAACTGTTTATTAAATTCTTTAAAAAATAGTGTTTAGTTCAATTTTTCAAACACATACTTTCTGATATCCGATCAACTTGATTTTTTACAGATATGATATACTGAATAAATCATAAAATATAAACGGTTCGGATTATCAAAATTGGGCCTAAAAGTAGACCCGAAAGCCTGCAAGGACGGACACAAGCACAAGCTTGCAAGGAGAGGCTCCTGACTCCCACACCCATCCTGCCCACATCCCACCACTCCCCACTATCCACCCTGCCACTCCCCAATGCCACTGCCACCCTCCACAACACTTCCCTCTGCCAATTAATAACTAAAAGCCGAGTTAAAGAGACAAAAAGAAGAGCCATGTCTTGGCAGCTAGCTTTCTGGAGAGAAACAAACAGCTTCATAACTAAAAGCTGTGTGAAAGAGAGACGTTAGAGCCATCTATCTTTCCAACTAGCTTTTTCGGAGAGAAACAAACAGTGAACATCTTTTTCAGATATGATCACAACAGCCCGTAAAAAAAAGGACATTGCAAACAGGAACAATAACAAACTAAAGAAAACAAAACACGAAACTGAAAAACAAAATAAAAGATGACCCAAGTACAATTCCTCCTAACAATCGAATATACAGATAAACGATACTTGGGCACCTAAATTCACAGAACAGTGTTTATATGAAGAGCTTTAAGCAGTGAAGTAGCCATCTGTTTCACCAAAACTTGGCCACCAGAGCGCTGCCCGTCTCTGCGCTCCTCAATCAAATTCTGCAGTTTCTGTGGTAGATCATTCTCTACAATCAGTTGCTTTGGGCGCGGATGGTGCTCATACACAGCCTGACAAAATATAAGCTCAAAGTGAGCAATTCCAGTAGATATCAAATTCTGCAGTTTCTACCTTTACTTTTGACGCAATATCTAATAGTAATAGGAAAGAGTCAATAAACTCGCTACCAAGAATCTTGGTAAAAACCCAATTGTACATTTTAACACATGCAACAGCAACAGCAACAGCAGAAGGTTTACCATTTAAAGATATGAAATCTTACAATATTGTAATGGTGTTGCTTAACTAGTATGTATCTTATCAACCTTTCCACCAACAAGGTTATTACTCCAGTCACCATCCTACCTTGCAATAACACAACATATGTACATTTTGCCCGTGGATATGTAAAACCCAACTCACTTCAACAAATGCTAAATCACAAATATTGAATGAGCAACTAGACTTCAGAACATTCTGGAACAAAAAGTTAATCATATACATGCATACGGATCAACCAGTGTCTCCTGAAAGCAGTAACAACCTAGCGATTTATGTTTTGGAAAACATATTCTGTAATATGGTTACATTTCTGTTCCAAAACGATGAATTTGGAGATCCAAAGCGATCATAAATTGTTTCCTATTTATTTCCTCAAAAGTATTCCTTAGGAGAAAAACTAATCCAATATAATGAACTAAAATCTAGAAGAGTGGAGTTTTGACAGTACAACATAAAAAATAAGCCACAATGCTCCTAGATTGTGATTTTATATGATTAACTTGAAAAGAAAAAAAAAATACTATATTTTATCATGTATCTAATTGTTAAAAGAAAAATGCTCTAAAAGCACACCTAAAATTCCTACAGTTGTAATCTATACAAGTCAACTCCTATAATACCACATTTTTTAGCACATAGCATGCATACCATGTACTGCAACAATCCAAGCCTCAGGTAACATATCAGCTATACAAATGAGCTCAATAGTAGAGCAAGTTAAGGGTAGCTTTACACAGATGCAAACAGGGTATTTAAACCACATTAAATTAGAGATTGAGAGAAACTCGGCATCTTGGGAAATAATATACAAACAGCACCTGATGTCTACACTTTAGGCTGGCTGATGTAAAGTAGATGGCTAACCAACTCTTTCGGAGGTGAATCCAAGACAATATAAATCATGTAATCATTCTAATATATTGACAAACATGATTGGAAACCAGTAATCTTCTAAAGCAAGTTCCAGAAAGTATCCCAACAACAAAACAATATCACAATACACAACTGCATTAGCATCAAAGTTAGTGCATCAGGACTAAAAGTACCTCTTTCACCATAACTGCCCCATACTAACTACAAACCAAACCAGCATGATTCCATCTTATCGACATTTTTTTTTTTTTATCGGCTTCTAATCCACCTCAAATGTACATATACACAGCTCTGTAATATGGAAAAGCTATTTATACTTTCTAAATGTCATTAATTACAACAAATAAAAAACTTGCCTTCAATGACGAGGAGAGACAAATTTAATGAGAAGTTTAATGCTAGCATTTACCAAGTAATGACATTGCTGGAGGGATGGCAAGTCCATTTTGGACCCAGCAATACATGCACAATTAAATCCACCTAAAACCCATTTTAAACTAACCCAACCCAAATTCAGATACTCTTGATTACATGATTGGAATAGAGATCTTCATTCTAATGCATAAGGTACACATCATTAAAATCCAAAATCAAAGGTCTATAGCTGTCATGTTAATTTGAATTTTAAAATCTACCTTAACTATTTTTTAATATGAAATAAAGATATGTTAACATGGATCTTTCACAAACCATAGATGGTCATGAAATAAACATCTCCATTCTATCCATGTAGCAGAGGATCTGGATACGCCCGATCCATGCAGCAGGTAATAAGCAGGTTGTCTAAAGCATTCCCATTAAAAAATGGGGTAACACAAGTTAGGAGTACGTGTCCATCGCGTCCAGCCAAAAGCCAACTGCCAACAAGCTAGGTAGGTGCTTTCCAGACTCAAAGAAACAGGAACACACCAACTTGAAGGAAAAAGTAGATCAAAAGCCTCACCATTGGGCTGCTTTGCCATTAATGTTATAGTATTACAAAAATTATATATATTATATTTCTTTAATTTTAAATCTTCAACAAGAAGCTCCTAAACAACACAATATATATTTTCTTCCTTTTCCGTGGTTAATTCTTATACTTTACTTTAAACAAAAATTAGTCTTTCACTTGTTCTTAGTACATTTCCAAGAAAATGTTAAATACTTAAACATGTTAACAATCTCATAAATTAAAACAAATTAATCAATAAAATTGAATCCTTCTTATTGTAATTGTTTTTATTGTCTTCATTGTTCTTTTTTCTTTCTTTCTTTCTTTTTTTTTTTCTTTTTTTTTTGGTATCCTTTTTCCAATATCTAGTGTTGCCATGTTATTTTACTAGAAGAGAAAGCACACATACTGTGTGCCAAATTAGTATTTTTTTTATAAATGTATAAAAAATGATTTAAAAAAATAATAAAAAGAAACAAAAGAGTAGTTGTAATTGCTTTGTAAGTGGGATTTTTTTTAAAATAACCAAACCAAGCCTGAAGTCCTATCAAATGGGGTCGGCTACATGAATCCTTCTTCTCCACGTGACTCTATCAAAGGCCATTTCGTTAGTCAAATTAAGTAAATTCATATCTCTATTTACTACACTAGCCAACATCAATCTAGATCAACCCCGTCCCCTAACATTTCCATCTACCGTCACTGCATCGCATTTCTTCACTATTGCCTCTGTTGGTCTCTGTTGAATATGACCAAACCATCTCAGTCTATTCTCTCTCAGCTTATCTTCTATTGGTGCTACTCCTACCCATTCTTGAATATACTCATTCCTAATTCTGTCTTTTCTTGTCTTGCCACACATCCACCTTAACATTCTTATCTCAACAACACTCATCTTATCTACATGTTGTTTCTTGGTTGCCCAACACTCTATCTCATACAATATCGATGGTCTAATAACCGTTCTATAGAACTTTCCTTTTAGTCTAGTGGATACTCATTTATCGCACAGTACCCAGACGCACTTCTCCACTTAAGTCAACCCCCCTTAATTCTATAGACCACATCCGCATCAATCTCTCCTGCTATTGTGATAATAGACCCTAAATAACGAAAATATTCACTCTTAAGTAGTTCTTGATTCTCAATTTTCACTTCTCCTCTACTTTCATTATTACTATTACTAAATTTATACTCCATGTACTCTGTCTTAGTTCTGCTTATCCGAAATCCTTTAGATTCAAGTGTTTCTCTCCAAATCTCCAACTTTGTGTTGACTCCTTCTCTAGTCTCATCCACTAACACGATATCATCTGCAAAAAGCATACACCATGGCACATCATCCTGAATATTTATCGTCAACTCATCCATAACTAAAGCAAAAAGATAAGGTAGATCCTTAGTGTAACCCTACAGATTGAAAATTCATTTGTTTCTCCAGCAGACGATCTAAATAGTAGTCACCATCCCTTCATACATATCTCTAATCATATCAATGTAACCTTTCGTCGCCCCTTTCTTCTCTAACTCCTACCAAATTATATCCCAAGGCCCCTCCATATTTAGCACAACCACCCTTCCCTTTCTCTTCCTAACCACCTCCCTGCCCTTCCTCTACCACCACGATCCTTCTCTCCCTTGCCCTTTAACACCCTAAATAACGCCACGTCGTATAACTATATTCATATCCATCTTCGAATTCCCTAAGCCGAACTAGCTACCTCGTTGTACAAATGCTTAAAAGTAAAACATAAAATCTACATGGTTAGAAAGCCTTGAACATGTGAATTTTCTTGTTAACTACCAAGAGTTCAGGAATAGTTTTCTTTTGAACTTAGAAAACAAGTATGTACCACACCAGACGCATTCTAACGCGACACGAACAAACACTTAACCTAATTTAATTACCTTACATTGCATTAGAGACGAGGATACGATTTGCTAGGATGACAACTTAGAAGATTTATGCAACAGTTAGAGAACTTAAAAGGTGTATGTGTTAGGAATAGAGCACTTAGAAGTTAGAGCATGCCTTGATAAGCAACCTCAAGAGTAGGAATTCTTGAAGAACACTAGGAGTTGGGGGAATGAGTTCAACTTGAAATTTAGATGCCATGAGACATCCCAAACCTTAATCAAGGAGCTTAATGACCTAGTTCTAATGAGTAGAACTTTACCATACAATGTGCCAAACTTAATCAAGATTAGTGGTAATGAAGTATGATTAATTAGACTTAGGCATGATTAATTAAACTAATGAAGATTAGAGACTAACCTTGATTAATTAGAACTAAGCTTGATTAACTAAGCTAATGAGAAAGATTAGGGAAGCTAGTAGGTGAAGCACATAGGTAGGTGAAGTATAAACCTCAAAGTTACACCTCCTACTTGGAGGATAGAGATGAAACCAAGAGAGACAAGTGTCTCCTAAATTATAAAATGAAGAAAATAGTTAGAAGAGAGAAAAATCTGCTGGGAGAAGAGGAGAGAAAGAGGAAAAAAGGAAGAAGAAAGAAGAACAACCAAGAAAGAAGGCTCAAATCTTAGCTCAAAAGTCAACTAAAAATCATTCCAAGGAAAGATTTTCTCCCCTATTTCATGAAGATATCATCACACAAAAGGGAATCCATGTTAAGATTGAATAAGAATTGAATGAGAGAAGTGGAAGAAAAGATGAAAAAATGCTAGGTTAGGAAGAACTGCGTGAAAACCCATGCTTTTGAATGATGAAATCTAAAGTTTTTGTATAGAAATCTTAACTTTCGAGTTCCATATGATTTTTGAGGATTTTAGAGTTCATGCTTTTATGCCTTAGAGTGAGAAGCTTTGGTTTTGTGCAATTAGAAATTCGTAGCAGAAACAAGTGGGCAAGACTGCACAAAACTGCACGTGCAGAAAGAGGTTGCTGCACGTGCAGCCGCACATCACCCCAAAGGCTTTGCACATGCGGCTCAAACCCCGCACATGCGTCCCAGTGCTCTGAAGGGCTTGCAGCAATCCGCACGTGCGGCACAGACTGGATAGCCCTATTTCACTTGTTTTTGATACCTTGACACACCGAGCCTCAATTCGGATGTTTAGAACTTGTAATGAACCTATAGGAGGCTTAGAAATGAACCTAAAAAGCTATATTTAAAGGAAAGATATTGAACTAGGAATTAAACACTTGAAATAGGCACAAGCAACTTAGTCTTGCATCGGCTTGAATTGTATCTCAATGAAAATTGCATTTTGTACTTATGTAGGTTGCATTTTTTGGAGATTACCCCATTCTTATGAGCCATTGGTGAGTAGTATTATTTGAAAGTTATGTTCGAACTTATATTTTGGAAATCAAACTATGTTATGCAATGCCAATTATTCTAATTCCTATACCCACCCTTACTTGAATTCTTTTAAGAAATTTAATTATGGGAAGGATATGGATTTATTTAATTTAACTAACCATATAGCCCTAGCTAGAGCTTGAATGGCAAAAAAAAATTCATGTAACTGACCCCACTAGATTGGGACACAGGGCTTAATTTGGTTTGGCTTGGTTTGGGAAGGAGCTTCCTCAAAATAGAAAGCTCCAAAGTAATAACTAATGCAAAGACCCAACATCCTTTCTTAGAGAAGGCAAACATTTGTCATGGCTTCAATTCAACAACACTTTCTTGTGCATAACCCACTAGCTAAAAAATTAAAAACTACACCGAGTTTATCCCCATTTGATAGAGGTCTGCGAGAGGAACACTGGGTACAGACCTAATCTTTGGCATAATTTGCACAAAGTGGTTGTCGCCAGGTTCAGACCCATAACCTCAAGGTTAGTAGGCCAAGTTTTAACCATTGGACTTGTGAACATCATAAAAAAATAATAAATACCATGCAACGTTCAAGACACCAAAAAGTCAAGTGGCCCACCTTTATTAGTTTGAGCAAATTGAGACGAGCTATAGCATCCTGGTGGTCAAGCCTTGAAATGAGCAATGGTGTCAAGCCGTTGACAGCTAAAGTTGTATTTATCCGTGATGATTTTCTGCAGAAAAACAAATATAACGATTAAATTTAATAATTTTAGTTGGTAGAAAGAAACAATTTACAAGGCGTATAAGAGATGATGAGAAATGATAGGTTTCATAAATAAGTTACAGTTCTAATCTTTGAGAAGCATTGAAAGAGTTCCTACAATAGTCTTACAATGATACACAATTGATTGGTATGTGATAATACATTGTTCGGCACATCCCCTAAAGGCTTAAGTTTTTGAGACAACTGGTCATCTAACAACCTGGACCTAGATTTAAAGAACCACTTAAGATTGACTTTTTAATCCAGAATACATTTGTTTGCACGACAAATGGGTCAAGGGCAAACAAACCCATACACCTTGGATGTGCATCATGTACACCAATGCTTTATTGATCAACTTGGTAGAATCTAATGTAAGTCAGGATTAGAATATACGACCTTTATCAATACAAATAAAAAAGTAGAAATTAGTAACATAAGAGAAAAATGAGAATTGAAAATGACATACGTGATAATCTTCAAGAAGGGTTCCAATATGTGAACAAAATGCTGTTCTGGACAGCACTGGAAAAACTTGACCAATTTTTGAACTGCTTCTTTTTTCAGTAAAGCTTGTTCTACTTTCCGGTTGTCATTATCATGTGCCAAGCAAACAGCAATAGAATCCAATGCCGTCACGGACCAAAGCTCGTCTTCTAGTAGACTTAGGTACACATCCAGTCCACCATGAGCCCTTAACTGCTCTCTTGAATTACGTGATGCATGGGCCATATCGCATAGCAGTGGCAGCGCATATTGTTTCAAGGGTGAATCTGACATGATGAAATGCATCAAGTGTGGAATGATTCCATTCTCCGCTGCTTGTTCCTGTCTCCTCTTATTTATCTTGCAAAGGTTGAATAGCGCATTGAGGACCTTCATTAAACAAAAATCAGAGAGGAAGCACCCAAAAGTGAGTCAATAGCAACAGAAAACATATTTCTTATGCATCCACAAGAAAACATGTATTCCAACATATTTCAACTAGATCTAGTCTTGACTCAATGTAAAGGAAAACAGGTTTGTTTCATTGAATATGAACTAAAAGAATGAAAATGACTACTTCAACCAGTGAGAATAGGAAAACCATACAACAGCATAAATTTGTTTATACAGTAAAAGGTCCCAGTAAACCTATGATCTGTATACAATAGAACAAGTCAACTTGGACACTGGGTGTTGGCCATGTGAAGTTTCCGTGATCTATCACTACAAGTGTCTGTAGAACCGCCTTTAGAGTCAATTGATGTAACACTAAAAACTATATTGCAAGTTCTACACCAACAGGAATCAAATAAGAGTCAAGCATGCCCAGAAGTAAACGTTGTATGGTCAGTGCCCAACAAAGAAATGGCCATGAGAAAATTGTCCTTTACATTACAGAACAATTTCCTATATATTGTAGGACAAAATTGCCATGTAAGCATCCAAACGCACTGATACTCTAATATTTGCTTATCTGTTTCCCCTTCCAACAAGTGAATGAAATGCAATTATTCAGCAAATCAAAAACTTAAAAACAAGAAAATTATAGATAACAAGACTAGAGTGTCTAACTATAAAAGCAACTTGGAAAAGAGAGATGAAGGTGTCACATCCAAAGTCTTCAAAATTTCACAATTAGTGTTCCAAAGATCAATGAAAGCTTAACAATCCTCTTGTTATTTCTTCAACTTCAAAACTCGAGATATGCCATTGAAATATTTTTAGGATACTGTCAAGACAAACTTGGTCCCCACCCCATCTCATAGACAAACATATGTAAAAAACACCTTAAAGGAATGGAAAAGAAAAAAATAAGACAGCAAAATTCTCATGAATCAAGATGAGATTGAGTTGACAACCGAATAGAAAAGGTAAATGTTGCTTGTTGCTTGTTGCTTGTTGCATAACTATCACATATAATTGTGGACAAGCTAGGAAGCAATGATACAGATATGGACCTGATACACTACAGATATGGCAATACAACAAAAACCTAAAAAAGTAGGATATGGGTACGGCAGGGATACGGTTGCAAATATATGTATATGTATTTTATTTTTAATAACGTAGTATGTATAAAAATAAAACTAAAATTGACTGATCATTTATTTAATATCAAACATTGATTCTTAACATGGCAAAATCAAAAGCAAGCTAATATAAGAAATAAGAATCTTCAATATCAACTCCCGCTTGTTCCTCTTCATTAGAGAGAGGTATTTTGGTAAAAATGGAGAGAGAGAGAGAGAGAGGATTGACCAACAAAGGCCGATGGTGTTGCTTCATTTCTTCATTTCTTCCTACAAAGGCTAAGGTTCCTTTCTTTTCTCTTTGCCTGATCATTCATAAGTACTTCAAATAGTAGTATATGTTCCGTATTTTTTACTTGCATTAAAATTTATAAATTTATAGTTTGACTGTCATTAAAATCTTTCAAAAATCATGTTTTGGCCTCAACCGTATCCCGAACATATCCCTCTCGTATCAGAGACGCATCCAAAATTGAAAAAATAAAAAATAATTTTTGGATACTCTTCAGTCATATCCGATACATATCCAGCCGTATCAACTGCATATCTGTATCCGTAATCGAATCCATATCCGATACACGTACATGGCCTTTTTTGGAGCATCTGTGCTTCATAGTGGACAAGAGATGCAAAGTTAGGAAAGTGCACCTCATGATGTATTTGGGATATGAGAGGCCCTTCTTTGAGGTCAAGATTTGGAATCAAATATTTAATTGCATCTGCCCGCTGAAGATTCTCTAAACAATGTGGATCGGTTGATAGAAGATTAATACACTTCAACAACTACAGAATAATAAAGAGCACCACAATAAGAATGTAGCAAGAATTTTTTTTTAAAAAAAAAAAGAAAGAAAAGAAAATTAATGCCAGTAATTAAATTTTACATATACCTTCAGAAGAATAGGGGGTTCTATCCTATTGAACATCTGAAAAAGACGACTAAGCAAACTTTGGCTGCACATGTAGGATTTTACAGTGGTATCTGCACCAGAAAACTCAAGTAGAAGGTCTGCCACCTTTTCTAAATATTCCCTGGCAACATCAGCATTAAAGGTTGATACCATATGGGAAAGTAATCCGGATGATGTTGTACTCCCTGGTCTAGCATTTAAAACGCCAGACCCAGAAAGTACACCAGATGCCGTCTGAGATGCAAGTCCAGATGTAGAAGCTGCTCCCTCATTAGATGTCAAAGGGCCTACCTTCTTATTTACTGTTTTATGGGAAATTCTAGGCAAGTCAAGGTTTGCATTGTCCCTTCCGCGCCCAGAGACCTCTGTGCAAGCATGAACAAAACTTATATCCTTTAGCACAGAAATATTCAATGATTGCACAAACAAAAACAAATAAACCAACTGATGCAGAATGGTAGGAGAACAATAAAAAGAAAACAAGGAGAACAGAACAAGAGGGAGGAGAAAAGGGATACATAAACCCAATTCACTACAAATTCTTACAGTATTCAATCAATGCCAAAAACTCCAATAAAATTTATATATAAGCATAAGCATTATCCAATTGAAAAACAAAAAGGAACAAGAAACTGGCTAATAAAGAAAGAAAAAAATCATATTAAAACCATAATTGCTAATTATATTAAAATTCCTATATTCTTCAATTTATCTTCATCCAATGCCTTCACGATCCCCATCACACAGTGCAACTAAGGTCAAAACATAGAATAAGAGGTTCACCAAAAACCAGAAATAAAATAAAATGAGAAGTCATGCAAATCAAGCATGTGTCCTCTAAATTAAAGAAGTTAATACAAGATAATATCAATTATGATTTGGGGATCCAGCCAGGTAGATGATGTTCACCACTAGAAAGACAGTAGAGTATTAGGTAGATGAATAAATAATTTACCTGCAAACTCAGCCATCAAAAAATCTAGCCCATTTGCTTTCTTTTCATTAGATGCATGTAGAAGAGGCAGTATAGTTTCATGTCTTTCCAACCCAGAGAGGTGGCGAACATACTCAAGCTGACCAGAGAAATGTCGCGAAGGCGGTTCCTTATCCAACAAGCTTAGAAGAGGTCGAACGTTCTCTTGCTGAGTGGCTATTGTAGTAGGAAAGCCATTTGATGCACCTTCCGTCAATTTTGGAGCCCTGTCAGTGGATGTTCTATTAGCTGAATTAGCAACTCGCTGCTGTTTAAGTTCAATTTCTGCTCGAGAAGGTTCAATTTTCCACCGGTCTAAATTTTCTCGTTCTTTAGAACCTGTTCCTGAAGATTCCTTAATTGCAACATTAGCCACATTGTCCAAAGATGTTGGATCTGATAATCTTGAAGCAACTGAAGCTTCCACTGCAGCATTGCTGGATTGAGGTCTATCAGTATCTAAGGGAAAAAATCGGGAATCTGGAGAATATGAAGCTGAAGAGCGTGAAGGTTCTTGTGTTCCTGTGGACAAGGGACGATCCGTTACTCCATGCTTAATATTGAGGAGATCAGGCTGATCAATTCCAGAAGGTGATGTTTCACCCTGAGCAAAAGCAGGATTGTTAGGATCCAATGGACCAGAACGTGGTCGTGGAGGCAAACCATCAACTGGAAACCCACTCCCACCAGATATGGAAGCCAATCGAGTTGCTTCATTCAAACTGTATAGAGTGTTGATAAGCCTTAGCAAAAACCCATATTTTGCAGCTATGCGACAAAAATCATTTCTTGGAGTTGACCGCTGAAGCTTAAAAACTTGCCACATGCCATCGATAGCTAGATGAACCATTTCCCTAGATATAAAAAGATTGAATCAATACATCCTGTAATGAAGAGCTCAAGTAAAAGAGAATTTGGTATGAGGAACAATGTAAACCACTGACGAATTTGCATGTCAAAAGTGTAGTGTCATGAACATGAAAGAAGATGAACAAGGAAGAAGAAGAGGGAAAAAAAAAGAAAAAAAAAGGCGTATGCAGAGCTAAACAGAAAATTTGCCTCGATTTCAGAAATGAAATTAAGTGATGAAAGGTATTCAACCATTCTTCTAACATTTCCAGCTCAAAGTCTTGCAGACTACACAATTTGTTCATATTTCTTATTTAATAGTGATTACATTCACATGAAATGCTGTAAATTTATAGATCTACTCTGAAACCCACAAATGTACATGCCTAGTTTATATGACCATGTCCCTTATTAAGTGGCAACCTAAATTACCGAGTAGGATCTTCATCACAAGTCAGTTCAGGGCTATGGAGCTTTACTTTCTGGATATAATGTCCGTTTTTCCACATTGTAGCACCACCAATACTTCAGTATGTCACTTTTGCCCGTTCATTAAGTTGTATATTTACTCATTGTATGAAGAAATACCATTTCATGTAACGTATCTTTGCTACATATGGTCAATTATTTTTCAAATGACTATTTAGTTGTTGATCAGCTACAGATGTAGTAGGACAATGAAGTCACATACAGGTTCAATCTCTAATCTATGTTAGGCCAACCTTCACCCTCCATACATTTGACAAGTTTCTACTCCCAGAATGACCTAAACAACAATAAGAAACTAATTTCATAACCCATATGTCAAAACACAACTGCTTCATTTGCAAGAACTACAAACCTGAATTTTGCATAATCAGCCTCTAGAAAACCCACCAGAACAGGTATCCCACGGCAAGCAATAAACATTTGCAATGTCAAAGGACTGTAACAAAAGAAGTCTGCAAAGTTAACTCACAATCCTAAATTCTGATGAAAGTTATTTACGAGAACTCAGCAGAAAAAAACCTATACCTGGACTGACAAAGCTGCTGCAAGAAGTAAGCTGCTTCCATACGAACTTCACGGGGATGATCAGGTCCCGCAAAACTCATCACAACAGGGATCTGTGCCGTAACTAAAAAATTAATACCAATTACAAGAACAAATACTCTAGTCCCAATGCTTTGAAAAGCGAAAAATTGAAAGGGGGAAAAAAAACAAGAAAGGGGAACAAAATGTGAAATTAAGGGATGAAAATATTAGCACAATCACATTAAAATGAATCCTATCTAGAAGAAATATGATAAATAGGACGTTGCTATATGTTCTTCCCAAAAAATAATGTTCTTTTGAAGGTTAAAGGAATTTTAAAAATATATATACATGCCATGGGAATCCCAACAGTCAATTTTTATCTAATAAACCTGCTTGTTACCATGCATGCAACTATGAATTTGAGCTGCAGTTATTGCATTATTCACCTTGACAATAGTTCAACATGAGAATATAAAAACCTGAATGTAGAGTACTTACGAGGCCAACAAGAGAAGCATTTTCCTGAAAATCAGTGTTATCTTTGATTATTTGATTTAGAACTTGAAGTACTGAACATGTACCCTGCAATTTGAGTAAATTTTGTTGTTGTAGTAGTTAGAAAAAAAGAACACAGTTTTTAACTTCCAACTTAAATAGTAATGTAAAAGAATACAATCCAGAAAGCCTTGTAAGAGAGCTGACATACGCGAGTTCGTGAAACCTCAAGTAATTCCAGTAATGGGAGCAAACCATACTGTGTAACAAAAACAATTTTCTGCTCAGGTCGCTGGTGGAAAAAAGCTATCAATTTCTGACAGGCAGACATTATCACATCTTCTGATTCTTCTGGTCGCAATGACCCAACCAATTTGCTAAACTCAACAGCCTACAATACATACATACAAAAACATAATGAGTTTACCAATCAGGGCCAAAATAAACAAGAAAATTGGTTTTAAATAACTATTGGAATACTCGTTAGATATGCTTATAAACTTCAGACATATTAATAGAGGATAGATACGATACAAAATTTAAGAGTTGGGATAACAACTTCTTGAAACGAAGCGATATACCATGAAACTTAAGACAAGGAAAAGTGCTTTTGCATCCCAAGCACCATCAAAATGTTGGCATGGTTCAAGTTTCCAATAATGTTGGGTCGAATTCCAGCAAGTTGCATCATATTCCAGTGACATTTTGGTTTGACGTCCCAAGAAGGCTTTTGGACTTTTATGCACATTTATTCTTGTTCATGTACTTAGGTGTTCACATTCACTGTATTTTGTCATTTCATCTACACTTGTTAAGTGTATACAAAGCAGTGTTTCTAATGAGTGTGTGAAAATGGAGTGAACAAGTGGTGTGAGAAGTGCAAGTGCAAAGCCAAATTGAATCTGAAGAAGCAATTATATAGGCTAAAGATGGAAGATGGCGGGAAACCAAGGAACACCAGAATGTATTCAACGGTTACTTGGATCAACCGCAGAAAGTTGGTCTTAAAATTGAGGAAGAAGATAAGGCCCGTTTACTTCTTAGCTTGCTTCCTGATTCATACAATACCTTAGTAACCACTTTGCCGTATGGTAAGCACACCCTGAATTTGGAGCAAGTGCAGGATTCTACTTTGGTGGTGGCGCAATTGATGCGTAGAATTCTCACCAAGGTGGAGATTGTTGGGATGGTTCAAGTTCCCAATAATGTTAGGTTTGTATTCCAACTAGTTGCTTCATGTTCCAATGAGATTTTGGTTTGAAGTGCCAAAAAGGCTTTTGGGAGACTTGTGCACATTTATTATTGTTCATGTACCTAGTGTTCACATTCATTGTATTTTGTCATCTCATCTACCCCCGTTATGTGTATATAGAGGGGTGTTTCTAATAAATGTGGGTAAACTGAAAAAGAAGTGAACATGCGAAAAGTGAGTGTAAACGCAAAAGCTTGGGTGTTGGGTGGGAGAGTGTGTTCTTCGAATGTGAGAGTGAGAGTGTACAAGTGGTACGGGTTTGGGTGTTCAAACTCTAGTTTATTCTAGTACTATTTTATTCTCATAGTGAAGATAGTTCCTCTCGTAGATATAGGCAGGATTTTGCAAAACACATAAATCTTGTGTGTTCAATCATCTTGATTACATATTTGTTTCTTTCCATTGTTAGAAGATGTGTGGTGTGTTGTTTTTGAACCTCAGTTGTTTTTCTGCTGCACCCTAACACAAAATACACAGCCCAAATATTGTAAGAAATCAGAAGCAAAAGTGCTTTCTATATCCCAAGCACTATCAAGAGTCAAGTAACATCCTGTCTGTGGAAAACCACAACAGAACCTAATTCACAGATCCTTAGTGTCAGATATTAGAACCAATAAATGATTTTGGACCATTAGATATGAAAACCTTGTGTAGTTTTTGAAAACTTTCATCCTAATGATGAGCTCGCATGGTATAAATTACATATTCAACCATCCTAGGAATTTTCCCAACCTTTCACATCCTTTTGCATATCAATAGTACAAGCATTTATCATTAGCTTCCAACAATTACAAAAAGTGGGGTCATTACAACTTGAATTTTCCCATAACGGAAAAATTGAATGTTCCTACCTACCTAGAATAGAGGGAAGGCCTGAGACGATGCATTACATACATTACTTCACTTTTTGATTATACGCCAGACACAAACGCCCATAAGCAACAGTCATAACTGATTGACATCGCCTAAAGGCATCAATCATTGACAAAAGGTCTTTGCAACTCATAGTATGTTTTCATTTCCGATAGCTGCTAGCAGGTAGCCAGCGGTACTCGTCTGAAGGTCAAATAAATATTGATATCAGCTAGGTTCACTGTCTGTTGCTATGAACTTCCAAAAGCTATTGCATAAGGCCTACTAGAATTTCTAGTGTCTTGTGGAAATGTGGTGCCATGAAACAATAAAAATCCTCTTTATTCAAGACCTAGAATTTGAAATCCACCTATCATAGAGCAGATTGGTGGGAAACCAAGGAATTTGGCACATACAAAATAGCACAAAATCCTCATAGACGATTGTCGAATCCACAGTGTGGGGCAGGTTGGCTGTTGGTAGAAGAGGTAAAATTTGAGAAGGGCCTTGGGGTATTGCTGCTTACATCTTGGCCTCTCAAGGCCTTGCTTTAGGGCGAGCCTCAGGCCCTCAATCACCCTTTTGTTATTGCCCACAAGACTCTTAAGGCTCAACTAAGGTGAAAATTGGTGCCTCTGACAACTGGACTATCTTAAGGCTCGACTAAGGTGAAAGGCCCTCAATTACCCTCAATCACCCTTTTGTTATTGCCCGCAAGACTCTTAAGGCTCAACTGAGGTGAAAATTGGAGCCTCCAACAACTGGACTATCTTAAGGCTCAACTAAGGTGAAAAATTGCTGCCTCCAACAACTGGACTACCTAGACAATCATGTTAAATTTGAAATAAAGTAATACACACACCCTACTGCACACTACAGAATTTTATTATATTTCTTGTAACACCCAAGACATTCTTATAAGACATGGGCAAACATTTTTTCAAGTTTGATTTCTTTGCATTGCATTGTCCTAGACTGAACTTAGAAATGCTAATAGTTTTGAAAGCCTTCAAGATGTGGACTTTCTTGTTATGTGTTGGGAGTTGGGGGATAAAAAGAATAGTCTTTTTTATAGCACAAAATGCAGGTATGTATTTTTCAAAATCCTAATCAAGGTGCTTAATGCTTTTGAACTAACGTGCTAAATGATTTCATGAATGATATAATATCGTAATCAGAATTAGTGATAATTAAGTGGGATTAATTATATTCATTAAGATTAGTTGGACTAATTGGGATTTAAAGGCTTAACCCTGATTAATTAGGACTAAACTTGATTAATTAAGTTAGTTGGAGGATTAGTGAAAGGATGAAGCAAGCACACACCACACTAGGTGGCTTGACACCTCATACTTGGGAGGATGACTATGGATAGGTGGGGAGACAAGTGTTTCTCTATTTTTATAAAAGGAAAAAAATAAGTTCTAGGAGAGGGAGATTTCTGCTGGAGCAAAAATAGCGACGAGAGGAGAGAAAGAAAGATGCAAAAGAAGAAAAGAAGGAAAGAGAAAAAGAAGAAGAAAGGAAGAGGAAACCTCAAGTCCTTGACCTATAATTGTTCCTAGATGAATCTAAGGGAAGACTTCTAACTTATTTCATGGTACAACTCTTATAATTAACAAAACTCATACTGAAAATAGATTTGAAGAAGAAGAAAGAAAGAATTGAAAGGGGAAGACTTGATTTGGTAGGAATTCATGCTGTTAACATGAGAAAACGTGAACAGTCTTCACTAATTTGACCATACCTCTCGCCACGGTTGGAATTTTGATGTGAGATCACCACCATTAAAAATTAGACTTCTGGGGCTTCAATTTTGACGTAAATTTTGCTTGGTTTCAAGACCGGATGAGGAAGATAGGCCCGTTTGAAGTTTTCCTAGAGTAGATGATGTAGGATATCATGTGCATAACATGTGATAGTTAGTGGAGGGAAATTGTAGTCTATATCTAGAAGAGACATAACCACTTTGTAACCAATTTTTAGATATTGAACATTGATTGATTGAAAAATTCTCTCTCTAGAACCTAGTGTTCTCTCTCTTGTTCTTGAATGGACTTATCATTTGGTATCAGAGCCAAGATTTTGATCCTACCATGGAATTCACATATCTAATTTGGCCCTTTGTTGTTGTTGCTTGAAAGTTAGCTTGGCAGATTCACGTACCAAATTTTGTTGACTGAATCTTTGTCTCGGTTCATCACTGAAAGTCTGTCTCAAGAACCCTAGTGGTTCAACTTGATATCCAAACAATTGATTTCAGAAGTTGGGCTTGGGTCTTCCTTGCGACTTGATTTGAGTTGTCGGCTTGGGATTTGATCCACTACTAAAGTGCGACTTCGTGATTTGAGTCTGCCTTTGATTGCAACAGTCTGGGTCTTGATTTTGAAACGATCTACTTCGCTAATGTCCTGATTTGACCAATCGAAATCAAAACTAGGGTTGTTCTCTTGAGTCGAAATCTTACCTGGGTTGTTCTCTAAGATCATCAAGAGTGTGGTGCTAAGTTCACAGGGGACTTCTAATCATCGCGACTCCAGTTGTTCTCTGAGTGATTCTTGCTCGACTTTGATTCTAGTGTCACACAGGTAATTCGATCATCCCTTTCCACTCTTGGACTATTTTGAATCCATTATAGAGAACTGCTTTAGAATCAATTCTTGACTTCAGATTCCTGTGTATCATTTTGAATTCTTCTTGTTAAATTAATTCTTGAACTCTATTTTGGTTTTGGTCTATATTTGGAATTTGTAATTTGATTGTTTTGAATATACATTGTGATTCTTGAACATTGTTTGGGCTGTGACTACTGTGACTTTGAACATTTGGGAATTTCAATGGCAAATCAGGGTCCAGGTCATAGGGGTGGTCATGGTAGGGGCCCGAATTTGGGTGATGATACTGAGGGTAATGGGGTTCCATATCTGAGAGATGAAATAGCTGAGATGAGACGGCAAATTGTCATTCTAACTAAGACGGTACAACGTCTCCTTCCTCCTCCTACCGATGGTAATGATGGTTCCAACGATATTGACAGCGGTACTCGTCGTTCTTTTGATAATCTCTTTTGGGCTCCGCAAAGGCATGGAGCAAATGTGGGTAGGATGGAACACAAATGGAAGAACAATATCAAGATTGAGTTCCCAACTTTCATGGAAGCCTTAAGCCCGATGAATTCATTGATTGGCTCAAGACCATCGAGCAGATCTTTAATTATGGTGAGGTTTCCAACGAAAAGAAGGTTAAACTTGTTGCCATTCGATTAAAAGGAAAAGCTTCCGCATGGTGGGAACAACTTTAACTTAATTGTCATCGATGTAGCAAGGAGAAAATCCATGATTGAGAGAAAATGAAGAAGAAGTTGAAGGTCATTTCTTACCATTCAACTATCTCCAAAGTGTCTACCAAGCACTTCATGTTCTCAAGCAAGTTGGAGGTGTGGGCGAGTACACGGAATCTTTCTATCAACTCAATTCTAGGGTTGATTTAAATGAGTGAAGAACAATGGGTGGCTCATTATGCGAGTGGCTTGAAACCTTCAATCCAAGTTGTTCTTGCCTTGCATACATTGTGTAATGTTTCTAAAGCCTATAATCGAGCTTTAGCTGTGAAAAGCAACAAAGTTGCCATGCTTCCCAAATGGGACAACACTCCCAAGAAGAGTTTCGAGATGGTTTTAGGCCGGGTGCTTCTTCTAGCTTTGCCAAAGCTAGTCTTCCTTACAAGTTCATGGACAAGGGTGCTTCTTTCTCTCAAGCTCCTCGTCCTAATGGTGCTTCCAAAAACCGAAATCCACCACAAGGTGTAACTTTCAAGTGTTTCAAGTGTGGAGAACCAAGCCACAGATCTTCTGATTGCCACAAAAATATGGGTGCTAATCGGAACAAGACACTTTTTATTGAAGAAGTTGAGGAACATGGTGACTGTGAGAGTGCTCCAATTTATAACACTTCGAACAATATTGAAATTGACAGAGATAGTAATGAAGAAGAGGATCTTGCTCTTATGTTAAAGAAGACGCTTCTATCACCAAAGCTAGAGAGCCAAGAAGATTGATTGTGCACCAATATTTTCTTTACCACTTGCAACATTGGTGGACGTGTTTGTAACATGATTATTGATAGTGGAAGTTCTGAGAACGTGGTTTCTTAAGAGGTGGTGGCTAAACTCAATCTTCCGGTGTAGGACCATCCTCATCCTTATTGTTTTGGCAAGTGGGTAAAAAGCCACTTTTTGGTTTTTTAACCTATTTTGGTTCACATCACCTCTATACCTCTATACCTTTTTACACGTTTTTTTCAAAAAAAGCTAAAAAAAAGCCAAAAAGTCAGCTTTTAAGGCAATAAGATCAAGGTAACCAAATAGTGTTTCATTTCTTTCTCTATCCGGAAAAAATATTTCGATAAGGTATGGTGTGATGTAGTGCCTATGGATGCTTGTCACATTCTACTTGGACAACCTTGGCAATTTAACCGTCAATCTTTGCATGATGGCAAACAAAACACTTGCACCATTATCAAGGATGATAGCCATTTTACATTGCTTCCAATGAAGGAGAAGGTTGCTTCTAAGCCATCTTCTAGTTCTACCACCTTACTTGCTTCCAAGGAGTTGTTAAACTCGAGATTTTGGGGTTATATTGGTTTTGGTTCCGGTTGTGCACACGAATGCTACTAAGGATGTTTACCTTATGGTGTTCAAATGGATGTTTTTTGCAGAAAATGTACTTATATAAGTATATTTTAAATATTAAACTGTCACATTATTTATATTGTACGCCACGGTGCATTCATGATTATAGATATCTATATGTTGTTATTGTTTAGAATCATGTTGGAATCTCTATTGGACTTTATATTCATCTCACGTTGCTAATCATTTTTAGGTGCAAGTTAAGAGATCATTCAAGATCGGTGATCTTCCTTAATTATTGGTCACGGGACCTATACTTGTTGGCAAAACGCCACTATTGTGAAAAGGTTAAACCCTTACTTTTAATGTAAAGATATAAGCCTCCGGGCATTTCGTTTAAATGTAATTCTGTTGCATTCCATATATATATATACGATGATGTAATGTATGTATGATTCCGCATGTTCTTAATGGAAATGAATTTATATTAATGGATATGGTAATGTTATTCAAGTAATAAAAAGTGGGGCGTGACAATCTCCAACTGCATTTGTTGGACACATCACACATACCATTCCCTAAACAAAGGTGTGAAGCGTCCAGCAGGTGTACTCCATACATTTACATTTAGAGTCCCTGTAACATATAATTTTATCTAAATATTAAATTGTAATATGCGCAAATAAAATATATTAAGAGTTATGCTAGGAACTCCAAATAATCTATCAAATTTTCTGCCAAACCTCTCACATGGGTGTGGGACCCACACATGTGGGTTTGTGTGGGTCCAACACCCATGTGAGAGGTTTGGTAGAATATTTGGCAAATTATTTGGGGTCCATAGCATTTTCCATATATTAATAATGGAAAGAACAAAATACATTTGACTTCAAAAATAGATGAGGGTTACCATGTACAATGCGCATAGAGGGAAACTAAATTATTGGAATAAGGGTGAGTGGGAAAGAGGCATAATTTAATTATTTAAATTGTCATCTAACCCATTATAACCTTTTCTTTACAAAAAATGGCAGGATAGCACATAGAATATCACAAGATTTGTCGAAAAACTGTACTAAAAACAACGACCACGACGATTACTGAACAAAAAATTCAGGTTGAGAAGTAATTACTGGAATTATTAGGGTATACTAATGGACAACAAAGAATTTTGTAAAAATAATATAAAATATATATATATAAGCCATCCACGTTAGTGCCATGTGGCAGAGGTCTTCAATGGCGCTTGATTACATACACACACAAGATAAGTTAAAGCTAATTCTAAGAATCTCCCTTCTACCCTACGAGACACTTGTCACCACTTAAGTGGATGTGCGAGTAACCAAAAAATGAAAAAGTACTTTATGGTGTCCATAATAAAGCAAGACAATTAAAATTAAATAAATCTTAATAATCTAAACTAATATCATTCTCCCTAATAGAAAGATTACAAATATATAATTTTTTAAATTTCAATAATAAAATAAAAAAAAAAGGCTCTCATTTAGACATACTCAAGGAGGGAAACATATTGGTAAATATGACAATTATTCCCAGTCTCATAGCCAAAGGATGCACTCAAATTACCCCTCGAAACAATTATTCAAAAAAATGTAAACTACAAACACAAGAAGAAAATGAAATGCTTAATAAATACCTGTACAGGAAAAAGGTTCTCCGCAGGCAATTTATCATCGAAACCCTGATGAAAACAAAAAATGGAAGGGCCAAAAAAAGAAGTCAGGCATAAATATCGAAAAAATGAACCATTATCGAAAACATCAACCATGTCAACCACTACATCACACATACCAAACCATGGATGTCAATTGCGTCCTCCTTTAGAACACCCATCATTAGCCGTAAAAGGTCTCCGCCATTTGTCTTCCCTGTATCGCTCTCCAACTGTTTTTGAGCTATTGTAGCCCTTAACTTTGTTGCCAAATCATTTTTTCCATCATCAGTTACAATTGCATTGTCTTGATTCACATGAGACGAAGAGGCAGATGTTGAAGCTTCAGCTGCCCTATCCTCCATACTTTTCTCTAATGGATGGAATAAATCATCCAAGGAAGCATCTCCAGGGGTGTCACTAAATCTACTCAATTCATTTCCCCCCAAAGTGACCGGTACTTTAGCAGCCTTCAAGAGAAGTTGTTCAATAAATCCATCAGACATGGGAAAACATATTGAACTTAATTACTTGAAGCACATTCTAGATTATATAGAACCTAAACGCAAAAGCCTTTAAAAAATTACAAATAAGTACAAAACAAGCATAAACAACAAACTATAATATGGAGAGAAATAAATTGCAAGCTATGGAAAATTGAGCCCACTTTTCAGAAAATTAAGTTTTTTGTTTTTAGTATTTTCTTTTTGTTTTTAGTTGAAAATTTTAATATTTTAAGAAATTTTTTTATTTTTTAGATACACTTAACCTAAATACACTTAAAAAAGTATAATATTTATGATTTTTTTTTTAAATTAATCAAATACAAAAAAAAAAAAAAATACAAAAATTCAGTATATTTTTGTATTCTTGTGTATTTATTGAATTTTTTAAATATTTTTTCATAAATATTTTACTTTTTAGGTGCATCTAAGTTAGATGCATCTAGAAAGTGAAAAATTTTACTTAAAATATTAAAAGAAATCACTAAAAACAAAAACAAAAAAACTCAAATTTCAGAAAATCAATCAAAAAATCAATAAGATGACTATTTTCCACCAAAAAGTCAAAAGAGGATATAACCACATTGAGCAGAGAGTGTAAACATATCATCTGGAAAAAGTAAGCACTTAGTACCACTACATTCTTAAGGTGCATGTAAGATGGACAGAACAAGTTCTGGTAATAATTATACTTCAGCAGAATAATTTTTTATGAGCTAGAATGAAGAAATGGATGGGACCAACAAGTTACAAAACCAATGTGATTAGTTGTAACCACAAATTTCAATTCATTGATGTTTATAGCAGGAGAAAGTCAATAGGCACACAATCATGTTTTGTTTCAATTGGACCAGGACTACTTGATACAGAGGCCTCATTCCAGTTTACAGCAAGAGACAAGAGGGAAAAATAAGATAAAGAAGAAACAAAGAAATAGAAGTACATAGTAAAAACATTAACAACCACCCAAGAGAGGCCACAAAGATAGATAAAATAACAGAGTCTAAATAGTCATAAGTGCTACTGTGATTAGGACTGCAAATAAACTAAGCCGGGCTAAGTATTTGTCAACTTGAGCTTGGTTGGGCTAAAGAAAATTTAAAAAATAAAAACTGGAGTGAGAAACGTAGCAGAGAAGTGAATATGGAGACAGATAACGTTCATCAGAGCTTAGAAAACCTGATATGAGTTCAGGTCAGCTCTTTTCAAAAGGCCGGTTGATTTCTGTTATGGAGGGTGGTTTTGTACTTACCCACTTACTTGCTTGTAAGTATAAATACATGAATAGAGAGGAAAAGCTTAATTCTTAGCACCTTCATCTTGAGGGCTGCATGGTTGGCATATGGTGTACCTTGTGCCCATGTCAACCAGACCATGGCATGAGGGAGGCATGCCTAGACAGCACGGTGATACATGGCAGTGGCAATGCCACAGAACCCAAAGACAAGTGATGCTCCGTGTGGGCAAATGCAGGGCTGGACTCGGTCCGTATGCTACTGGCAGTGTGGGCTTGTGGGTTAACACAATCAGTGAATTGACAGCATTTCAAATCCTTTGGCAGTTGGGGATGTCAACTACCATGCCATGTGGCATGTTTTCCATGTTTTATGCCTCTTTCCTCCAAATCATTTTCACTCTTGTTTTCTTCTCTCTCTTTTTACTTTTAAATTTCTACGTATAATTTTGACTATTTCATTGGTTAGAGGTTTTAAAACTTCACAAATACGAGACTGAAAGTGACTGAGGTAATGTTTCATGAAAGGAAGTGCCAGCCTTTTTCTCAGGGTTAACAACTGTGTGTAATAAACAAAAGATGCATTATAAGGAACAAGAGGCATGCAGACAGTATTCTTTTCCTTTAGTATATTGTTCTAATAAAAATGCAGCATTAACTCATGAAAATCCAAAATTAAAGCTACTAGGACATGAAAATTGAAGAATTGAATACAAATTATCAGAAACTCATGAATATCCAAAACTATAACTACTAAGACATGAAAATTGAAGAATTGAATACGAATTATCAGGAGCTCCATGTTCATGTACCCAACGAAGCCGAGCTAGGCATAGCTATAAAACGACATTCAAAATAAGGTTCATTCACATTCCGTGAACTTAATTACAAAGCTTCAACGAACCAAAAACCAACCAAAGCCAAGTTCATGCACAACTTTGGTTCATTTGCAACCCTGGTAACAGCCATTTACAATAATAAGAGACTCCTTGGGCAACAAATTTCCAATGAAATCCAAAATACAAATGTGGAATATAACAATCTCGAGATACTAATCAATAATCATCTTCATCAACGAACCAATCTTCAGCATTTCCCATGTTGTTTATCCTCACCATCTTACTGCCCTCATATATTAGCCCCATTCTCATTTACACTTCTCTGAATTGACATGAGATCCTATTGTTTTGAGCATTAAACCGAAAAGCATAGTTGTCGAATTAGGATTCGAATCGTGAATCGAAATGACTTCGTACCGAATCCGCAAATCAAATCAAATCAAATCGAATTGTGAATCGTAAAGATTCAGACACTTCTAAATTACTTAAAAAAATCTATCCACACACTTGGATGCTAAATATATCTTATTAATATGAAATATTTGGATTTGAATCAATGAAAATATTGTTTTGAATGATGGTCACGTAGTTTAATAAGTAAGAAGTTAACAAAGATTCCTATGTAAGATCACCATCTTAGCTTTTTCTTTTCTTTTTTAAATATTTCTTATCAATCATTCTTAGTAAAGATAATAAACAAAGACAAACTCTCAATTTCCAAGTAAAAATAAATTAACAACAATGTTGATATTTAGAAAATAATCATACATACTTTTCTAAGTAACAATAACCAACTAATAAGAAAAAATTATTTAGGATCTTTTATTTTAACACCTAAAACATTTTTAAAAGGTATAACTGACCTTACCTATGTAATATTCAATTATATTTAATTTAATAAAATAGCAATAGATAATTCATGGTGTAAATTACTTCAATCTTAAACATCTTTAAAAGATGCATTATGATTTTTTTAAGGAAAAAAAAAATGATTAAAAACATGTTAGGTCTAATTGAATCTGATTGGATCCAATAAAAAACCCCATGATCACTGAATAACAACAAATCATGTATATATATTGGTTATTTTGGTACTAAACGCTATTAGAAATTGTATTATATCATTTTCACTAAAAAGATGGGGGAAAAAAATAGTCAAAAATATGTTGGACACGATAGTTTCAAGAATTATATGAATCATAAAAAGTGAATCGAATCGTGAATCGATTGTGAATCGTGCGATTCACTATAGATTCACTTCCAAAATAGATTCACCTATAAATTTGTATCGAATTTGCAAAAATTGTGAATCGAATCGCAAAGCGTAAGATTCTGGTAACAGAGCCGAAAAGTAATATATGCATTCAACAACAACCAAATCCTTTGCACAGCAAGTACAATAAAGAAGCCAGCAGTACCAAGTGAAGCTTTACCTTTCGAGGGCTGTATTCTTGGTTTTTCATTCCAAAACCAAATGATTTATGCTCAACATGGGAAGCACTTCCATTTCCTTCAAGGTTTTTAGCTGGGATGTTTTTCCTTCTTGAATCAAAAGATCCCACCTTGCCATTCAACAGACCTTCCCCCTCGTCACCAATGTGTGGTGGCCTGTGGAGCTCCAAGGGATGAGAGGGAGGCACGTCATTATCACCTGATAATCTAACAGAGCCCATATTTAATGAAACCTTTTCATGGATAGCAAAGGTGAGAACTTGATCAGATAAATTATCATCCACAAGATTATCTGTTATTTCCTCGACAAGATTACTACTTGAGCCATTATTTTCATCATATTTGCCAATATCAGCAACATCTGTTGATAACAACTCTTTTTCAGATACCTGAAATACAAAAAGTCAGTCACTATATGGAACACAAAGAATTCAACAGTGTCAGCTGATCCTCGTGTTATAATTGTGAAATGACAATATTATCTAGCAAATGAATAGAACTTGCGAAAGATTCAGATGATAAAATTTCCCAGGTTTCAAACTCAGGCAATTACTTTTACTTTCTCTGCAGAAGGTCTTTCACTAGTGCTCTGGTCATCTCCATCTAAAATCTCTGCTTCCAATGAACCATCTTCCTCTATATTTCTGCAAGAAACAGGGCTGTTCAAGATATTCACACATAATGATTCCAAGCAAGGCATGTACTTTGACTACTCTAATAGCAAACATTCTCAGATTTATTTCTGGACAAACACGCCTTGGAAATAGAAGAAGGAATTCTTTCATCTTATCAAAATTGCTATAATAGTAAAGGAAACTCAATTTAGTGGCCAAAACAAGAAAGATATTTGAACTTCTGAAGTTTCCATTTCGACAAATTTTGCCCAATTCCAAGTTTAAAAGGAGATATGCCGATTTGAAGTTGGCCCCTTAAGTCTGTCTACCTTACTAGAGCTAGGCGCACGTATGGATAATGGCAGAATCAAAATATGCGTTATTTTGGCTACAAGACAGTATTTAACCCTTAGAACATAATCTCAAGACTTATTTGAGATTTTAACATTTTTGGACCTTAACTCGCTTAAGATGACTTATTATTATTAGTCTTGGGGATTTCTAATAAGGAACAATGCTCTAATTTTGTCATAATTGAATCATGTATCAATTGGTGTTGTCTCTTTTACGCTTATATAGGCCAATAAACTGTGCACTAACCTACTTTAAGGGTTTGACAAGAGTAGTATTATTTCAAAATTATGTTCAAAATCTTATTTTGGAGCTTAGATTGTATAATATTGAAGTACATAATATGAATGGATATTTTATGTTTATGTATGAAATGTATAAAGATGGCATACTCGGTTAGCCCCAGCTATTAAGGGACAGTAAGTGTTCTAGTTGCAGACGGTCAAGATCTCCTTTGCCATGGGTGTGAGTTTGTCTAATCAGTGCCCAGGCCAGTTATTCCTTCTTTTATTCTGATGGATGTGCATCATCATGTTTTGGATATGCAAAGCCTATGGTTAAGATCTGATTTAAGCTGGATAAAACTTTTTGTTTAGATATGCCACTATTCTGAATAAATGTTGATATCCATTCATTATACCACTTTGTTATAATACTATTCATTGGGCTTTGGCCTGCCCTTTCCTTTATATGTATATAGGTGAAGATGTGGCATTAAGGGTTTTGTTTGTTGAAGATTTGTATATATGCTAATAGAATGGAAGTTTGTGTTTGAGTAGATATTATAAATGGTCAAAATCAAAGAATTTAATGTCTCCCGCTACTTAAAAATTAATTCTACCCCGATTATCACAGGAGCACTTATGTTTTGTTCAGTCACGCCTTGAGTAGATATGTTTTGTAAACTCTTTGATTACTTGTTGATCACAACTCTATTACAATTTGGGGAAGATAGGTTGTGACAGAATTCTTCAATAGTAGAACAACAACAAGAGTATTAGCAAATTGAGAACACATTCAAAATATCAAAGAGTTTACAAAATTATTTAATTGGATATGTGGCAACCTTCGAACAATACTGAGATAGCACATGAAATGGAAAATTAGGCACACCCGAAGGAAAAAATGAAGACAGAACAAGTTTTCACCCAATACTCCATAGGCAAGTAATGAGCGAATAAGCACAAATTCAACAAGCCAGAAAAAAATGGAAAAATAAAGTTTTTTACCATAAATGGCACAAGTGAGAAGCATTAAATTATAGTTAAAAAGATCTTAAAAGAAGAAGTAACCAAGAAGAATAAGGATTGGGGGGGTGGAAGGTAATATAAGCCCCACAAATTTGACATAATTACACCGACCCCCTTTATAAGAGATGATGTGCAAAGACGGGGGAAACAAAGGTAAAATATGCATTTGATTGTAAAAAGATGAAAACATCATTTTTCTATCCATACAACTAACGAATGGAAAAGGCTAAAGGCCCGTTTGTTTGGAGAGTTAGAGGGGGGATTAGGATTGGTAGTGAGGTGGGACCCACTAATATTGTGTTAGTTTTGAGAGATGGGGAGGGGATTGATAGTGAGCTCCGGATTAGGATGGGCCTCCCCAAGGAGATTCGGATGGGCCTCCAAGATTTGGTATTAGAAAAATAGTACGGCGGACTAGAAAAAAAAAATTATTTATTATTTATTTTATTTTTTACATGTCGGGCATTTTTTTTTTTTTTTGAACATTAATGTTTAATTTTTTGTATTTTTTGTTAAGTAAAAATCATTATTTTATTTGTTTTATTTTTTTCTAAAAATTTTTTATTTTATTTTTTTAAAATTTTTTACATGTTGGGCATTTTTTAAAAAACATTAATGTTTAATTTTTTTGTATTGTTTTATTTGTTTTATTATTTTATATTTATTTTACATAAAAATAATTTAACAATCCATACACTAACAACTATCATCAAAACAAACACAATTTTACTTAATCCCCTCACTAACAATCCCCTTACTATTAATCCCCTTCATTCTACCTCTGAAAACAAACGGGGCCTAAGTGTTACGTAAATTAAAACCTTAAGAGAGCTCCATGTAATTACGTCAAACTTATAGAGCTTGATATATTTTCTAAAAACCTCAAGGGAGATTAGTATAATTTACCCCCCCCCCCCAAAAAAAAAAGATTACAAACTCAAAAACGTACAGAAAATGTTTTATATTATTTTGGGTAAATTACAGTGACCTCCCTTGAGGTTTCTGACAATTACACTGACTCCCCTACTTTTTCTAAAATTACACTGACCTCCCCTAAAATTTACTTTTGATTTATAGATTCCCTATTTTCATTAGTTGACCATTAGTTTGACTAACGGTTCTAAGTTTTTTTTTTGGGGGGGAGGGGGGGATTGAAATAATATAAAAGCCAGTGATTAGTTGTTAGATTAGCACATAGGGGGATTTCAGTTTGGTTTGTATATCATTTTAAGTGATTATCTGTAAATTAAGAATAAGAAGAAATCGATTAATCATTTTTTAGGTAAACAAATTAGTATGAATTATTGAAGCCAAATGAGAAATACAAGAACTTGTATGTAAGTAATACAATAAATTTTATATATATACATATATATATATATATATATTTATAGGTAAACCATGTGAGTATTTAGAAATAAATTATTTAATACTACTCAAATAAATACATATGGTGTCCCAATTTGATTTTTATTAATTTAAATAGTAATACTTATCAATTTTATGTTCTTTTTTTTTTTTTTTTAATTTTTTTTTAATGTGCACATATGAGCAGCTTACATATGTATACACATCAATGCAAATATACAAATATATGATACACAAATACAAACATACATGTGTTTATATGTACATATGCATGAAAGTGTACAAGCAAACTCGCAGCAAGGACACTCATACAGCATATATCAGAATATAAATATATAATTGACAAGACGTAGGCCAGCAGTTAAATCAACTTGTAAACTAAAAAATATGGTCACTAAGAAAGCTAAAGATTACTCGATAATTATTATCAGACAAACTCTTTGAATAACTCACATAGGTAACACAATAAATTTGCATAGCTGTAAATGTACTAATGATATAAGCCTGCAAGCCCTTGTCCCGGGGCACTTTGAGGCTCCGTAAAAAGATAATAATACAATATGGAACCATAAAGACTCCTACTATGTACCTTAATGTTCCACTATGACGGAGAGAAGACTGTAGAACACGCCTTGAGTTCTGTATCCAAGGGTGCAAAAGCAGTGTTTTTGCATCAGGCCTCTGCCTAGCATCCTGAAACATGATATTTAATGTCAAATGAAGCCGTTGACAAGATAACTAAAAATTACACACTGAATTACATGTTGAAACCAGTACTGAGTCCATAAAATGAGACACATCAGTTTAGTAAATTTTGAATTACTGACATTATTTCAAAGTTAATGATCAAACTAATGACTTTTTAATTCCCTCCCACAAACAAATAATACAGAACCTGAATAAATTATTTTTCTGCATTTACCTGATTCATTCATGCTTGAATATATAAAATTCGAAAATCAAAGTAAATGCATTTAGAGAGAGAGAGAGAGAGAACTCATATTTAGTTTACATCGCAAAATATAATTCATCCATGTAGTGCCAGAAATATCTCTGCAGAGATGATAACCAAAACAAAAGCTAAAAGACCAAATAAATAGTTCTTTACAGTTGAAATGCAGAAAATATGGAGATGTGATCTTTCATGAGAATTAAGGCTTATTTGAAGGGAAAAAACAACACTGCTAAAGAAGGAAATAAATTTAGGACTGCAGATTAGGAAATCCTCATCAAATGAAATAGGGGACTGCAGATTAAGAAAGTAACAAATCAGGAGATGGATTTTGACTAATCACTAACAAGGATCCCAGAGGCACCAATAGCTCAAAAAATAAGCATTCTAGAAATTTGATGACTCGTAACAGAAATTTGAGACCAGTTGTAGACACAAATTTTAAAACATGAAGTGTTTCAACACATTTCAAAATTTTATGTTACAAATGTCCACTGTTTAGTTTTTGGACTAAACAGTGTTAATTATTTGAATAGCAGGTTCTTATTTCCGATCTGTATTTCAGATCGTTAATTACACATTTTATACAAATGAAACCTCCGATTAATGAAGAGCAAAATAAACAACAAAAGACAATTTAAGAAAAATAAATATTTTATTGAAATTGTTATGGGTTTTGAACCCTCCAATATAAAATACAATTCTTGGGTTTGGAACCATTTACCTATTCATCGCCATTAGCGTAGGCTCTTGAGTTCTCTAGGCTTCTCTTCTTTCTTGTAACGACTTCTTTAGCTCTCAATTTCTTTCTCTCTCTCTGATCTTTTCACTTCTGATTTTATGATCCCTCGTCTTGTGTGATGGTCCTCATATTTATAGAGGGCCATCAAGTGATAGGAATGCTTCATCTTCAATTTGAATTTCAAATTGAATGATAGCGCCATTTGAATTTTGAATAATAGCGCTATCTGATTAACCGGATTAATCTTTGGGGTTTCATCCTATGTGGTGTCCTTGTTGTAGGCTCTACAGGTGTCATCTTTCGTAGGCTCCACGTGTCACTTGAGCATCTTGAATAACGTCGTTGAGATACAACGTCGTTTTATTTATACACTTCAACGGATCATATTGATCTTTGTAGGAAGTGATTACCTACAACTTTCCTATCATAGGCTCTATACGTGTCATAAATTTAGTTGAAATTCATGTGCCAACACCAGTCAGTATTTAACTTCGACTAACAAACTCATTATTATCCTACAATTTCCAAATATTAATTGTGTATAGTAATACTCATGATTTTAAATTGTATCAGCCAGTGTAATGGTCACAATTGCGTGTAATGGGTATCAGGAGCATTAGACAATCAGGGGTGTTGCCACAGTGGAATACATCATCAAGAAGATGATATGGAAAAGACCCATGTACAACAACGATGCTTCGACTTTTGATATCATCCATAACATGTCAACTAGATGATTGATATGCAGCACATATACAAGCAGTCAATGGAAAAGCAGCAACTCCTGAAGAATCACATTCAAATTATACAAGGGGCTTCGAAGTGCCTCGATCAAATATTAGCATATTCTCCACATGAAATATTGGACAAATATTTGAATTCAATGTTCAAGAAGTAAAGCCTGCACTAGGTCCATATTCAAGAATAGTACAAAGATTTCCAATAGATGCGCCACTAAGAAATATTTATATGGAGAATAAATGTGGTGCAGAGGGGTATTGACAAAGCCCAAATGTGCAAAGTAATCACAAATATCCTCAAGAGAATTATAAATATCAAAAAAACACACAGTATTAACAAACTCAAGGAGTGACTTATCAGAAATAATCTCAAATTAAACATCAAGAGGAATAAGCTCAACAGGAGTAGAGGAAGCAATTTCAGCAGGCTCACAAGGAGATGGAGATAGGATAGGCTCAAAAGCACATGATACCTTAGGTGCAAAAGTGAGGTCATCAACAGAATCAATGAAAATTCTCAACTTGCATAGTCATGGTTCAACAGGTTGTTCTTCAAGTGGCACAATATGTGGTGATTCAATTTTCAAGCTCTACATTTTCGGTCACTTCATAACAATTGTTATGGTGATATTCTTCCTCCAGATAAATTTCAACCTCTAAAGAATCTTCATACGCATTCTCTAAAGTGCTATATGAGGTCGTTAACATCTCTCTACTAATTTCAGGTTGTAATGCCAAAACAAATTGATTACCAACATACAAGTCTACTAGTGTCAGATAATTTTAAGAGATACTTAAATTCAACATAGTAATCAAAAGACACAAAAATTTTGTTGCTAAGATTGATCAACTGGTCAAACTATACTGAATCCTGATTAATGGGAAGAGACAAGATCAACAACCTCATGAGAAGAGATACACTTAGAAGTGGTTGATATTTAATAGCAAGCTCAATGGTAGTGAATTCAATGACTACTTCAGTCTGTTGTCTACAGTTTTGAGTATGAATATTGGCATTGATTTCAGTTATCGACTTTTTAAAGGCATCCAAGTTACCATCAACGGTGTTCCTAATGTGGTTCATGAGACCTTAAATGCTTTTAATGTTTTCATCAAAACAAACTCAAGAGAGCTTATTAGTGGTCAGGATATCTTCAAAGCATGACATATCTTTTTTTCTTTTTTGAAGGAAGCCGAAGAAAAACACAAAGTTGGACTTCTTGCAAAATTTATTAACTTTCCAGTGAATGAAATTTTTAACCTTAACTTTAAAAGGAAAATATGTGTACCTCTTGAAGCAAATAGGAACCACTAGATGGCCCAAACTCATGCACAAGGTAGATTGGCAAGCATTGTGAGCTAAGCGGAGGCTTGGACGAAGATTTCGTGTGGCATAAGGATGCAGGCATTAAGGGTGGTTCTTATGGAAAAGATTTCATGTGGAATGAAGATATTCTAGGCCAACTAAGACACTAGGCTGGAGCCAACGGATACTGGACTAGTGATTGGGCTAAAAGAGGTTATGATGTAGGACAACTTGCTGGATTTTCAAACAAAGGTTATTTAACAGCTCAAACAGTGAGTAATTTCAGGTTTGAATGGTTAAATTGAAGGCCAATAGGTAAGGGAAGGGATTAGGATCGATATGGACGTGATAGGATAGGGTTTTGGGGCTGAGAAGTGCACTTTTTGTGGGCTGTGAATAGTAACCCGCGAATAATAACTTGGGTATGTGAGCAAATAATGAGAAAGAGAAGAAGTAGAAGAAGAGAGAGAAAAGGTGCTTCACCCTCGCAAGGGTTAGGGCAATCATACACACAATCTGAAATTCTCATATCATCAACTATTCTATTGAATCATTGAAATTACACATATGTATAGGCAAAGACACTCCTATTTCTGCAAGGACTATGACTCAAATTTGGAAACTCATAATATTTGGCAACTATAAATATTCTAGGCCAACTAAGCCTATGACTTCTAATTCCACTTCAATCCAAATAGAAAACTTTGATGACTTCTAATTCAATTGAAATATCAAAAGAGGAAACTTTCCTTTATTTACTACCAAGATTATTCTAGACATAATAAAATCCACATATAATGACCCATTTAATAACTGGAAAAAGATTCGAAACCTGACCATGGCGCTGTGATTGGCCAGGGTTTTTTTTTTTTTTTTTTTTTTCAATTACCAGCCCCCACGTATGTGGGGTGGGGGGGGGAGGGGTGGTGGGGTTGACGGGGGACGAGGGGCTTAGAGGGGGTCTCAATCACTTCCATTAATAACTTGACTCAAAATAAAATCCATGGACAACCCCTACAACCCATGTCCAACAATATTGAAATTACTATAATACCCTTAACTAATAAAACCCACTATAATGACATAAAGACTCAAAAGTATAATAAATACAAATAAAGACTCAAAATTATTCCAAAACTCCAATCCTTAATGCCGCCCTAAACATGCTTCATATGAAATTCCAGATTTACCCTTTTTCTTCTTCCCCTGATATTCATTAGGTTAGGTCAATGATTTTGAATGAGATACAGGTTTTGTGAGTCTCAATTTGGGTTGTTTGAAATGAGCTTCTAGATCAAAATTGTTGGTTGCTTTATATGGTTGGGTTTCAGTTTAAACAACTAGATCAGTGATGGGCTTAAGGAATTGATCGGGGTAGGTTTGAAGGCTTTGATTTGGCTTGTTGTAATGGATTCTATAGTACGTTGTATTTTTTTTTATTTTTTTTTTCTAACTGGAGTGGGTTGATTTGACTTAAATATGTTGGGTTAGGAAATTGGTTTGGGTTAGGACTAACATAACACTTTTATTGCAACGTCATTTTCTTCCTCTACAAACGAGGATCAAGGAAGGCTTCACGAAAGTGTAGCAAATCTGACAAATAAACCCCAACAGATGGCCACAAAAGGTTGTCATAGTCGAGTAGGCATGACCAACAGTAACTACCTTCTAGCAAGGTATTGATGATAGGTTTGTTTTTGGCTGAAATGGCAATGATGATGCAACACAGCAACAGTGATGGCAAGCAGCAATGAGTCAACGCAGATGGTGCAGCATTCGGCCTTTTTCATTGATGTCCTCCATCAAGGACAGTAGCAATGGTGTGATGCAGGTTGGTGTTGGAATGTGTTCCACATCGCCTAGAGTTGCCCCATCTATGCTAGTTATAAGGCTCTAGTTTCTCTCTCCTTAGTACTTGGGTTTTAAGGAGAAGTGCGGACTAGGCTTTTCAAT